AACAGTGATTTTCCAGGAGCGAACATTAAAATTTAACAACAACAACAACAACAACAACAACAACAACAACAATTACTAGCACGTGGGGACACTCCGTTCTCACCAGTGCCAGGGTTTTCATAGGAGGCGGGCAATACCCCCACTTTGTGGGGGGGCCGGTTCAAGCTCTACCAAATTTCCAAACGACTCTTCGCCACCACCCACACCCAGCTTCCCGCCCTATGACGTTCGGACACTTCACTTCGTGGCATGCGGACGACCGTGGCTACTATTCAGGGCCCCGCGGCCGACGACGACGGCGTGCGCGCGCGAAGAAAAAACGAATGTGTCCCGCATGGTATTATTTGACAGGGATGATGGCCCTGGCAGGTGCGCAACCGTTGTTGCAGAAGTTCGAAAAAGTTGCTCGCAAAAGCCCGTTTGACAGAAATGTTTAAAAAGTGTTGGGTTTCCTACGAATCCGCAAGAGCGCGCGGGATGAAATTTTGACATTTTTTTTTGAAAAACCATTGGTTTTTTATGTTTTTATGTTAAAATCGCTACGAAAACTAAGGTTTTGGAAGGATTTCGTCTTGCGCGCGCGAATGTCCACTTTACCTTGTTTTTTGCAAGGGATTCTTGAAGTTTGGATATGTTAGAACAAGAAATGTCCACTTTAGCTTATTTTTTTGCTAGGGAAAGCGGGCCGTAACAACACAACCGGATCCGGACCAACCCGTTTTGCCTGAGACTTCTTCACGAAAATGATGAAAATGTGGCTGCGGCCTAGGCGCGGCGGGGGGGTCGTGCACCAGGGACCCCAACAATAATTATTCTTTAGAAGTAATAATGTTCAACAACAACAACAACAACAACAACAACAACAACAACAACAACAACCATAACAATAACCACAACAACAACCACAGCAACAGCAGCAGAAACAGCAACAGCAACAACAACAATAATTGTAATGGTGTTCGTTCCTTTTTGCCCGCATGTCTTTCATCTTGTACACCCCGACCCTCGATCCGCCCACTTCGTCTTCGATCGCACCCCTCTTTGGAGGGAGTATGTTTCTTGTCGGCCACTGCTTGAAGCGCACGGAAGTCTCGAGTGAGAGAGCCGTGCCTGAGTTCGGTGGCCTCTCTAGCCAGAGCGTCTCGGAGCAAATGGTGAGGAATGAACGAGAGCCCTTGTCGTCGTAGTTGGGGCTCCACCAACTTGATTCAATCACGAGAAAGTCTCGAGCGAGAGCGCGGTGAGTACGGGGGCCGCACTGGCCAGGGCCTCTCGGAGTAAATCGTGAGGACGCATCGAACGGGAGCCCTTGTCATCGTCGCTGGGCCTCCACTAATTCGATTGAGTTGCGAGGAAGTCTCGAGCGAGAGCGCCGTTCCTGAGTTCGGAGCCCTCTCTGGCCTGGGCCTCTCGGAGCAAATCGTGAGGAAGTATCAAACGAGAGCCCTTGTCGTCGTAGTTGGGGCTCCACCAATTTGATTGAATCACGAGAAAGTCTCGAGCGAGAGCGCCGTTCCTGAATTCAGGGGCCCCACTGGCCAGGGCGTCTCCGAGTTCATCGTGAGGAAACATCGAGCGGGAGCCCTTGTCGTCGTTGCTGGGCCGCCGCCAACTTGATTGAATTACGAGGAAGTCTAGATCGAAAACACATTTCCTGAGTTTTGGGGCCTCTCTGGCCAGGGTGTCTCGGGGTAAATTGTGAAGATGTATCGGGCGTGAGCTGTTGACGTTGTAGCCCGGCCTCCAAGGTCACACATTTACAAGCAAGCCCGCGCTCGAGCGGGAGCCCCGTTCTCAGAGGAAGTGCAGCCGGCGGCGAGGCGAGAGCGCGCGGAACCGCTTCTGGAGATCCACAAAAATTGGTCTCTAGACATGAAGATTCCACATCAACAGCAATGGTCATGATAGTACGGATAGTGATAATAACAACAACAACAACAACAACAACAACAACAACAACAACAACAACAACAACAACAACAACAACAACAATAGCAACAACCATAATGATACAAATATTGATTTACTAGTGGTGCTAGTAATGATACGAATGAAAACAATAATAACAATGACCATAATGTTCAGACTGTTCGCTCCTATCTGCTTGCGTGCCATTTCAACACGTATATCCCAGACCCTCGATACCCGCCTTCTTCGTCTTCGATCGTACCCCCTTGGGGGTATATCTTCCTTACCTGCCGCGTGCATTTAGCGCAGCCCCTAAAACAGGGGAAGAGATGACGGATGGAAGGGGGAGGGAGAAGGATGGAGCACGAGAGAAATTCGGTGGAGGGGAGCAAGGAGCAGAAAACACGTGGCAGAACCAGACGGGCAGATCGGGCGGGCAGACCTTAACGGGCGGGTCGGGAAGGCGGGCCCAGGCAATCTAGTCGAGTTGGCGGGTTGCTGAAGCGTGAGTCTTGCATGAATCGCGAAGAAGACTCGAGCTACAGCGCGATTCCCAAATAAATCTTGAGAAAGGCCAAAGCGAGAGCGTGATTCTTGAGTGTCGAGGGCGCGGCGTTTGAATAAATTGCGAGGCAGTCCAAAGCGAGAACACGATTCCTGCAAAATTGTCCAGGAGTCTTTCGCGAGAGCGCGCTTTTGGAATGCATGGTGAAGAAGGATCAGACGGGAGCCGCTGTTGTTGTGTTTCGGGGCCAGCAACCCAGTTTGGTGACACCAAGTTTTCTTTAAAAATCTGGGTGCGAGCCCCAGGAGGAGCACTTTGATTGAAAAGTACGAAGCAACAGCAACAACAACTAGAGCCATAACAACAACAACGACGACGACGACGACAATCACAACAAGAACCAGAATGGCAACAATAACAACGACAACAACAACAATATCAACAGCAGCAGCAGCAACAGCAACAACAACGACAACGGCAACGACAACGACATCAACAACCACAACAAGAACAACAGCAACAGCAATAACAACAACGACAACGACAACAACAACTGCAACAGCAACAACGACGACAACGACAACAATAACGACAACGACAACGACAACGACGACGACGACGACGACGACGACGACGACGACGACAACAACAGCAGCAACAATCATGGTTAGACCATGTTTAGAGTGTTCGTTCTTCTTTGCCCGCGCCTCACTCAGCTTAGGTTCTCCAAACCATCACTTCCCGCCCTGCTTCTTTAGGAACGTGCCCCCTCGCGTGGCCTCTCTTTGAATGCCACGTCCTGTGGACAAGGAAACACACTGGGCTCGGGCGGGTGGACCCCAACGCGCGGATTGGGCAGGCGCGGGCCGGCGGGACGTTACCAGTGGTCGTGCGGGCTTCCAGGCAGAAAACGGGCGGGCCCCTCAGAGCGGGCGGGTCGGGCCGGGCGGGCGGACCCTGACGAGCGGGTCGAGCGGGCGGACCTTGATGGGCGGGTCGGGCGGGCGGTCTTTAGCGGACGGGTCGGGCGGGCGGGCACCCCATTAAAGCGCGATGGTTGTATAGTTCTTGGATAGGTATCGGGCGAGAGTGCGAGTCCAAGGTAATTTCTGAAGAAGGCGAGGGTGCAGTGCCTGAGAGGCGAAAGCGCGACTCCTCACCAGAGCGCGAGGAAGTCCCAAGTGACAGCACGGCTGCTGATTCGCGCGAGCGCGACTCGTGAAGCAGATTCGGAGGAGGCCCCAGGACAGAGTACGATCCAGGAGTAAACTGCGAGGGGCCGTTGAGCGAGAGCACGGCGCCTCGCGCCTCGATAGATGGTGAGGGCATCTCCGGCGGGAGCTGCTGTCCTGTTCTTGCTGCTGGGGGGCCCAGGGGCGCAGTCTGAGCTGCAGCGCCTGCTGTCCGCCGCCGTCAGTGCTCTCCGACCCGCCCCGCCTCCGACCCTCCCAGCCCAGCTCGCCTTCCGCCGCCCGTGCTTCCTCCGATCGGCGTCGCTCTCGACCGTCCGTGGTCTTCGAGCTTGCCTTCTGCCGCCGCCAGCTAGCCTCGAGCAGGCCCTGGCCTCCATACCGTCTGTGGCGCTGGTGCTTGCCTTTCGCCGCCGCCAGGTTTCCCTTGACCAGCCCTGTCCCAGAGCTGCCCAGGGCCCTGGTGCTTGCCATCCTCCGCCCCCAACTTCTTTCCACCCGCCATGCCAAAACCGTTATCAGATCTTGGTGCTTGCCATCCGCCGCCGCCAAATTCCTTCGACTGCTCTGTCCCCGACTGACCCCTGGCTTTGCGCTTCGTATATGCCGCCGTCAACTTTCTTCGTTCGGCCGTGTCCCTGACTGACAGACCTTGGCTCAGTCCTTTTCATTCTTCCCTGCGTAAGAACTGTTCGGACCCACGCGCAGCTTGCATGGCGAATTTTGAAGGCCTTGCTCAGATGCCTCATTTCTCCTGCAACTGTCCAATACCTAGTGGCCTGCGGGACAACTCGCCACAATGCCTGGGACGTAGAAGAGAGGCCTCGTTGGGGCGTGTGGGAGGCACCTCCTGGTGGCCTCGGGGGGCGTATTGTGGCAATCTCGGGGGCCTCGTGGGCCTTCTGGACGCCCTAAAGACCGAAAGAAATGGAATGCCCAATCGCACAAACTCCTGTGCGTGTTCACAACGATTTGGGCATCGTGGGCCGCCCCCCAGGGCCTCCAAGACGGCCGAAGGGGCCTCCAAGAAGGACCCAGCGCGGACCCATGGGACCACCTTAGGGTACGTTACAGGTCCAGTCTCCGAACCACGCTGTCCAGGCCTCGGTGGGAAAGTCAGCCCCAGGAGCACCCAGAAGTCCTAATACGTCCCAGAGGTCTTGTCAGCTGCGGGTCGGTGGCCCTCTCCAAGTGCACTTACAGCGTTCAATGTTGAAGCCGCTGACGTGGGGATTTTGCTCACAGTGCTTATGGCACGGTATCGAATATGTCTTTAGTTTGTTTGAACCAACACATTCTGGCTCGAGTCTGTGTCATGTCATCTCGATGTCTTGCTCACGGCATGGTCCGTAGGCCCTCGGGATCTCTTCCATCGAGCCCGCTCCGCCGCGGGCCAGGCCCAGCTCGTAGCCGAGGAGAGCAAGGTGCACGCGGAGGCCGAGGACAGGGGAGAGGATGAGGACGAGGAGCACGAGGAAGACGGGGATGGGAGGAGCAGCAGTCTTCTTCACGGCCCTCCAGAGGGCCCCTCGGCCTCGTCTTTGTCCCCACCCCTCGTCACCTCGTCGGAGGTGGTACCTGTCAGGGAAGGTCCTTCGAGGTCTCTCGGGGTCGTCGGGAGTCGAGCGGAGTCCTAGACGTTCTTGTTCCCCACATCCTAATCATGGGGTTCCCCATATCCAAAATATTTCCCAGATTCTCAATATAGGGGTGATTGCCATTACTAGAACGCCTCTGCCTCTCCTCCTCCCTCCGCCCTCTCCTCACTCACATTCAGACTCACGCACAATTAGATTCACTCGCACTCAGGCTCACTGACACTCAGACCCACTCATACTCAGCCTCACTCATACGCAAACGCATACCCTGATTCAATCACACTCAAACCCACTCACATACACTCACACTCTGACTCACTCACACATACTCACTGGCACCAAGACTTTGTTTTCAGAGCCCCATGTTCAGCGAGGCGCTAGCCCGTTCGCGCCCAGATTATTAGGATTTATCAGGTGGTTTGCTTGTTTGGTGGCTTGGACACCACTGCTTTCAGAACAGATTGTGAGGATGTCTCGTGGGAGGTGCTGGCTTCAGCACCCTCAGGGAGAGCCACCAGGGGTTATTTCACGGGCCCGCTCGCGCCCAGACTGTGGAGATGTCGCAGGCGGTTTGCTGCTGTTTGGTGGCTTGGACTCCGGCGCTTTCAGAGCAGATTGTGAGGATGTTTCGAGCGAGGCGCAGGTTTCAGCATCCCAGGCGGCCAGGTCGTGGGATGTAACGAGCGAGGCGCTCGGTTTTGCACCTCCGACCCCTGTCCATGCAGAACCCCATGATCATTTCGATGTAGGGAGAAGGACGGCCGCCAGGACGTACGGTCGGACCGAGGTATAAGATCGAGGTCGGTTCGGGGAGGGTACCCTTGTGCTCTCCGTGCTTGCTGGTTGTTCTTGTGCATCCTGGGGGAGGGCCCCCTCGAGTGATCTCATGGTCTGGGGGTGTTTTGGCCGGCCGAGGGCCCCACGTTGTGGAAGGATGTTATGATGTCTTGAGTCCGGCCGTAGCAGGGAGGACGGCGGCGGACGCAGGAAGAGAGAGAAGGGAGGAGGGCGGAAGAGAAGGGAGGGGACACGAGGAGAAGAGAGAGGAAGGCAAGGTGAGAGGACCTGCTCACGGCCTTCCTCTCCGTGAGCTGTCGTCGCCGCTGTCCCTCCTCGTGGCCGCCGCCGCCGTCGTCGTCGTGCTCGTCGTCCACTCGGCCTCGCTGTCACACCCAGACACGCACGGCCAGACACCCACAGCGGGACGTGCATGGAAATGAGATGCACATGCATGAGTTCGTACGTATGTAAGGGGAACCTCCGCGTCGAAAACATGTTTGAAGATTTTGCAAAGGTCCTGGGGGGTCCGGCGACCCTCCTCGCGCCCCTGAGAGGAGGAGGGGGAGCAGCAGCAGCAGCAGCAGCAGCAGCAGGGAGGGCCAGATCCACCGCCGCCGTCGGCGGCGCCTTCGACGACGGCGAGGACGACGGCGGCGGCGGCCGCGCCTTCGACAACGGCGAACACGGCAGCGGTGGCGACGCTGCCGACGGCGGTGAGGACGACAGCGGTGGCAACCGCCGACGGCTGCGAGGGCGACCGCGGCGGCGGCAGCGACAAGCGACAAGCGGCGACGACGACGACGACGACGACGACAACGACGACGACGACGACGACAAAGACGAAGACGACGGCGACGACGACGACGACGACGACGACGACGACGACGACGACGACGAAGACGGGTCGCGGCGGGTGGAGGCGGCGGCGGCGGCTCCGCAGGAGGCCGTCGAGCTCCAGTGGCGGCTGCAGTCCGCCGAGGAGAGCCTGGCGGCCTGCGGGCTGGCCCGCGCCGCGGCCCTCGCTGAGGCGAGCCACGCGCAGGGCGGCGGCCTGCAGCGGCGGGCGCCCCAGCGGAGGCAGCGCGGAAGGGCCCCTTTCGTGGAGGGGGCCTCGGGAGGCGCCGTGGAGGGAGGGCAGCCGCGGCGGGAGCTTGCGAGGGGGCACCGTGGAGGCCCCTCCGGGAGGGGGGGGGGGTCCTGGAGCCCGGAGGCACCGAGCGGCTCCGCAAGGCCCAGGGGGCAGGGCGGAGGAGGAGGAGGAGGCGGAGGAGGAGGAGGAGGAGGAGGAGGAGGAGGAGGAGGAGGAGGAGGAGGAGGGGGGACACCAGGAGCAGGAGGCGGGGGAGGAGGAGGAGCGAGGGGGGGAGGCCGAGGATGAGTATCATGAAGGGAAATGGCGGAGGAGGAGGAGGAGCAGGAGGAGGAGGCGAAGAAATCAATTGGATTGGACTGGACGCGGCGACCGAGCAATAATTTGAGAACCAACCGATCTAGTTCACCCACGTAGAGCAACACCTCGTCTGGTGCCACAGGGGCCACCTCGACCGACGGACCGACCAGGAGACCACGAAGACGAACGCAAGCCGAGGGCCCGAAGAGACCGAAAAGGACCAACCTAGACGGCCAAGCGGGACCGAAACAGCAAACGCAAACGGGAGCATACAGCGTTGCCTTATAGAACTTGCGAACTCAGACCCTCAACGGCTTGTCGCCTCAACGCCTACCGGCCCCGCTGCATTCCATCACAAGTCCATACCTTTCCAATCACGATTGTAATGAAACATCAGACGCCATCGGGAGGGACCACACCTTGTGGGTGAAAGTCGCATGGCGCGCTGGTGTCGCGCGAACGTCACGCCCTCAACCGCGGTGCTAAGCGGCGCCGCCTAGCGCAGTCACGACACACGGAAGTCCAAGAAAGGGAGAGAGAAAGAGAGAGAGAGAGAGATAGAAACAAAAAAAGAGGAGAGGAGAGGAGAGGAGAGGAGAGGAGAGGAGAGGAGAGGAGAAGAGAGGAGAGGAGAGGCGAGGCGAGGCGAGGCGAGGCGAGGCGAGGCGAGGCGAGGCGAGGCGAGGCGAGGAGAGGCGAGGCGAGGCGAGGCGAGAAGAGGGCAGGAGAGGAGACGAGTGGAGAGGAGAGGACAGGAGAGGAGAGGAGAGGCGAGAAAAGGAGAGGAGAGGAGAGGAGAGGAGAGGAGAGGAGAGGAGAGGAGAGGAGAGGAGAGGAGAGGAGAGGAGAGGAGAGGAGAGGAGAGGAGAGAGAGCTGCAAGTCATGAGTGTTGAACCGCGCCCTGGCGACCACCACGACGGCGTTCAGCTCGCGCGAAGGGGCCCCCGGCAGAGGGCACGGCATCCACCTCCCCGACCGCGGGCGCGACAGGGCGCCTGGGGCCACAGGGGAGGGCGGGAGCACCCTCCCCGCCTCCCTCGGCGCGACCCCGGGCAGGCAGGGGGCACCTTTCCAGGAGAGCCCGGGGGGGGGCCAGCGCCAGCGCCACCTTCGGCAGCAGCAGCAGCAGGGGCCGCGGCCCCCGTCGGGAGCAGCTGCCGCGGCTGCAGGCAGAGGGGCGGGCCCCGCGCGGGAGGATGGGCTGCGGCCGGGGGGCCGCTCGGCGCGGGCTCGCACCCACCCCATCTCCTCCTCCTCCTCCTCCTCCTCCTCCTCCTCCTCCTCCTCCTCCTCCTCCTCCTCCTCCTCCTCCTCCTCCTCCTCCTCCTCCTCCTCCCTCCTCCTCCTCCTCCTCCTCCTCCTCCTCCTCCTCCTCCTCCTCCTACTCCGCCTCCGCCTCCGCCTCCGCTCCGCCTCCGCCTCCGCGCTCCGCCTCCGCCTCCGCCTCCGCCTCCGCCTCCTCCTCCTCCTCCTCCTCCTCCTCCCCCTCCTCCCTCCTCCTCCTCCTCCTCCTCCTCCTCCTCCTCCTCCTCCTCCTCCTCCGCCTCCGCCTCCTCCTCCTCCTCCTCCTCCTCCTCCTCCTCCTCCTCCTCCTCCTCCTCCTCCTCCTCCTCCTCCTCGACATGCGTTTGCCGGCAGCCGTGGGAGATCCACGCGGCAGCACGGCGGCCGCGGGGGAGACCCCCAAAAAACCCGCCAGAAACCTTTTGAGAGGAAGGCTTTCGGAGGGTTCCGGAGGGGGGAACCCCCTTGACCTTACACAGTTCTACAGTGGGGGCGCGTGCCAAGAAACCAGTTGGATTTTGCCAGGGTGCCCTGGGTTTCTTGGATTTCGATGGGCTCCCAATCAGATCTTGACGATTTTCGATCGACACATGCGGATTTTCACTGAACAAAACGCGGATTTCAGGGTTGGGTTTCTTGCGGAGGTTTCTTGTGACCAAGCCCCCACTGTATTGAGAGGTATTTTGAAGGGAGGTCAGGGGGGGGAACCCCCGGTCCAGGGGGGGGAATTGTTTCAACCGGAGTCCGGGAGGGGGGAAACCCCATCAAGCCCGAAAACACCCCTGATGGAAGGTTTTGGGGGCGGGGTCCGGGAGGGAAAATATTTTCTAAAACCCCCAAGTCAAGCCTGAGAGGGGTTTGGGGGAGGTTCGGGGGGGGGACCTCCGTAAATGTTCCAAAAAAAGCCCAAGTGGATATTTTGGAAGGCGGTCCGGGTAGGAACACCCCCCCCAAAACACCCCAAACTCCTTTGAGCGAAGTTGTTGCATGGGCCCTGGAGGGGGGACACCCAGCAAAACGCCCCCAAAACCCGTTGAGGGGGGGGAGTACCTGGGAGGAAATTTTCACTAATTTTCCAAAAACCCACCTGAGGGTGGTTTATGCCTGGGTCAAGGGGGGAAGTACAGCTAGATTGTTCAGAAGGAAACTTGAAAGAGTTTTTGGCAAGTCCGGAAGGGAATTCCTTAAACCAGCCCAGAGAAACATTTTCAGACAGATTTTTGGTGAGGTCGGGACCCACCTAAACTCTGAAAAACTTCATTGGGGGGGAGGAGGTTCGGGAGGGAAAACCCTTCAACAAAACCTGCCAAGGAGGTTGGGAAGGTTTCTGTTCAAAAGGGGTTCCAAAATTGATGGTCTTGAAAGCCCGGCATACAGAATCATCCAAAACCTTCACTGAGGGGGGTTGTGGTGCTTTGTTTGGATATTTCTGGGGAGGGGTATTGTTTGTAGTTGTGCGGAGGCGGTGTCCCCGCAAGAAAAAATACAAATTGAGCGCCCCCCCTTCCCGGGCCCTGACCCCGAAGCCCCCCCTAAAACTTCTTTGCGTCGGCGGCTAGGCAGGGTAACTGCGCTGGCGGAGGGTTACCTAAACGGGGATACCGTTGTAGCGAATTGCGCACCATGCAAGAGGGAGGGGAAAAGCAGACGAGGCGGCCGAAAGAGGGGGCGGAAGACGCGAGCCGCTCAGGGGTACGGTTCACGCCCCGAGCGTGTGGCGCGGCCAGCCCAGCCGGCGGGCCCGCGGCGGCTGCTGCACCAGGGGGCCGGCGGCGGCGGGGCGCAGAGGGGGGGAAGGTACCACCCCATGGGGCACAAGTGCAAAACGGGCAGCGTCAAAGCTTGATGGCCGCCCATCCCCAGGGCGGGAGTGGGCGTGGCTGCCAGCAAGAAGCTGGGGCGTCGGCGGCGGGCGGCAAGACCAAGCCCAGTGGACTGGCGCGGGCGGCGGCTGCGAGCAGCCTGGGGCAGCGCCTGCGAGCAGCCAGGCGGCGCCATGGCGGCGCGCGGAGGGCCCCCCCCCCCCCCCAAAAAAAACAACAATTTGGGAGGGGGGGGGTTCTCAAAGGGGGGACCCTTGGAAACTCCCACACACCTCCCGAAGCTGGGCGACTGGCCCACCACGGAGGGGTGCGCCCAAGTGCGCCAAAGAAATGTAGAAAGAGAGGAGGAGGAGGAGGAGGAGGAAGAGGATTAGTGTAAACACAAGACGCATCTTCCCTCCAAGACTCCACCCACACGATGTTGCCATACACCCTCCCTCCAAGTTCCTTCTTCATCGGCCCCTGCGGAATTGATCTGCATTGCGGGAAGTGCCTCACTGGAAGACAACCGCTTGTGAATTCTACATCATGCCAAGACACAGTTTTCGGGACGTAAACACCGCGCATCGATGTGATTGCTGCGTCCTGACCATCGTAAGTCGTGCTCGAACACCGCCCATGGGATTTCCACAAGACGAACGCACGTGACTGTTTCATCCTGACAAATTAAATCGTGCCAGAACATCATTCCCGAAATTTCAACCAAACGAATATTGCAAGCTGTCGCAAACATGCGCGCGGCGCTAAGGCGAGAGCAACATTTCGAAAAGGAACCGCCCTCAATCCTTGAAACTGTTGCAAACTCTGACAACGAAGGCGTGATGCGGCGCTAAGGCCAGAGTCACATTGCGAAACTGCTGCAAATTTCAAGTCCCAGGATCATGCATGGTGAAGGAGCCTCCAACGAAAGGCCCGGTCCGCCCCACCGACGCGCCTGGCGGTGCAACAGGGAGGAGCCACTCTTTCAGGGGCAGGTCTGGAGGAGGAGGTCCCCCCTCCACGACGTGGTTGCAGGAGCGCCACCTCCGAGGGAGCGCGCCAGGCTGTGGGGGCGCTTCCGGGCCAGGAGGGGTCGCCCGCAGGGGCGCGAGTTCGGGCGCGGCCTGGCGGCCTGAACCGAGGGAGAGCTGGCACCCTCCATCCTCCTCCTCCTCCTCCTCCTCCTCCTCCTCCTCCCCTCCTCCTCCTCCTCCTCCCCTCCTCCTCCTCCTCCTCTCCTCCTCTTCCTCCTCCTCCTCCTCCTCCTCCTCCTCCTCCTCCTCCTCCTCCTCCTCCTCCTCCTCCTCCTCCTCCTCCTCCTCCTCCTCCCCTCCTCTCCTCCTCCTTCTCCCCCTCCTCCTCCTCCTCCTCCTCCCCTCCTCCTCCCTCCTCCTCCTCCTCCTCCTCCTCCTCCTCTCCTCCTCCTCCTCCTCCTCCTCCTCCTCCCATCCTCCTCCTCCTCCTCCTCCTCCTCCTCCTCCTCCTCCTCCTCCTCCTCCTCCTCCTCCGCGCGGACAGCGAGAGAGCGCGAGGATGGGTGACCGCCCGGCCCCTCCCACGCGGGCGGGCACGGCGAGCGCGCGCGCCGCGGAGACTGAGGCGGGTGGCCAGCCTCGAGCAGGAGGTGGAGCGCGCCCGCAGCCAGGCCGGTCGTGCGCCCGCCCTCCCACAGGTTTTGGCCTCCTGGATGGGGTCGGAGTAGATGGGGTTTGAGGATCGCGCCGCATCGCCGATGCATCGACGACGCGGCTCGATGCGGAGCCCGATTTTCTCCACACTGAAGTCGCCGAGGCGTCGCCGACGTCGGCGATGCATCGCCGATGCATCGCCGTTGCATTGGCGATGCGGCGCGATCTGCCGACTCCATCTACTCGGACCCCATCTAGGAGGCTTCTAGTAGCTACGCGTAGGGTCGGACCGAGGTATAAGGTCGAGGCCGTCTCGGGAAGGGTACCTTGGTGTTCTTCGTGCTTCTCGGATGTTCTTGTGCATCTTGGAGGGGGGGCCCTCGAATGCTCGCCACGTTGGCCAGCAGAGAGTCTCACGTTCTTGGAGGATGTTTTGCTGTCCTCGGTCAGACCGTAAGAGTGACCTTCCGCTGGGCGGAGATGCGGAAAGGGAGGGGAGGAAGGAATGAGAGGGAGGGAAGGAAGAGGGGAGAAGGGCGACTGTAGAGGGGGAGGAGGAGTGCAAGCTAGGTGCGCTCGCATCATATCTCACGTCCTACCCCTCCCTCCCATCCCTTACCATGGCGTCGATATTTTCTCTAATTGCACTGTCGGATGTTGAGCAGGGCAATGATCCCGAGAGGGTGCGCGATGCATCGTAGAGCAAGACATAGCAGGGCGTAGAAGATCACGGCAGAGCGTTGTATGTCATGGCATGACGTGGCGTTGCGTAGTGAAGATTTGCATCACTTTGCATCGCAACGCAAAGAATGTCATCGCACAGCGGCACAGAACTGAACATGGCATTGCACGGCGTTGAAAATCAAAGCGTAGCATGGTATAGCATGGCGCTGCATTGCGTAGTCAAGCACGGCATATCCTAGCATTGCAGCTGAAGGTATGGCATCGCACAGCGGATCGCCAAATAGCATTGCATTGCATGCCGTGACATGGCAACTGACGCCAGCGCTGCTGCGGGAGCACGATTCGGAACGAGCGGAAGCGCGGAAAGGAGGCCATCGTTGCAGCGGGAGCACGATTCGAAACGAGCGGAAGCCCGAAAATGACGCCAGCGCTTCAGCGGGAGCAACACTGAATAATAATGATTTATCTGCTAATAAAAGTTTTAGTAATGATAAGCTGCAATACAAAGTTGAAGCGCCGCAGGGCACCAGGGCCTGATGACATACCCACCGAGATTTTCAAGGAACTCACAGAGCGCACCCTGGACCCAATCTTAGCCCTTCTCAACGAATGGTGGGACAGCGAACACATCCCGTCAGATGTTCTGGAAGTTCGCGTCATTTTGACATTAAAAGGGAGACGAGCAATCTAGCCAACTACCGGCCGATATCTTTACTGAACACAAGATACAACATTTACGCATCTTTGATCCAAAAACGATCAGCGGCCGGCTTGGAGGAACACATGAAACGGACATAATTCGGATTTCGAGCAAAACGATCCACGTCGGCAACCATAAATTGCGTGCGCAGGGCCGCAGAAGAGGCAGAAATCAGAGGCCATCAGGTCCCTTATGTCTTACCAGATTGGGATAAACTTTTGACAAACTCACACGGAATTGTTTGTTTCTGGCGCTGCAGAGGATGGGAGTGCTTGCTAAGTTTCGAGGGCGGCAAAGAGGGGGGTGATGACAAGGGGGGTGGATATCATGGCGTGGGCCATGATATTTCCCCGGATTTCATGGCGCCTCTTCTTATTTCATTACGTTCTTGCCCCCCCCGGTGGGCCGCGCACATGCCGCCAGTCATGATTTGAACCCCCCCCTCTTGGACACACCCCCCCTTGGCCGCTCCCGAAAGTTGCAGAATGTTACTAAGTCATTATATCGACCCCAAATTCAAAGTCGAGTACGATGGCCAGACGTCCGATTGGTACTCGCAGGACTCTGGAATCTGGCAGGGATGCCCCCTATCGCCATACATGTTCTTGGTAGCCATGACTGTCATGTTCCACAATGTCCACCAAGCCGTTGACAATTCTATAGCGGGGCACAGGGCACAGGGGGCGAATTTCGATGAAATTCTTTAAGCTGGTGACACGGCTGTCGTCTCCAAAGACACCAGGTCAGTGAACAAGATACTGGGTGCAATCGAACACGAAGGAGCAAGATATGAGATGAAACTGGACAAGGGGAAATGCGAGATAGTCGCAGCCCATGGCCATCCCAACATACATTTTGCTGATGGAACAAGAATTGAACGCATGGACGAGGTTAAAATATCTGGGATGTCGCCTGAACGAAAAATGGGACAGCACGCGGGAAGCACAAGCACGAATCGGGGAACGCATGGCAATTCTGAAGAAAACGAATTTGTTCTGAAGACGGAGCAGCTGCCCCGCCAAATTCAAGTTGCAAGTGCAAGACGCAGTCACCAAGTCTAAGCTCCTGTACGGATTGGAATCAGCCCAGCTCACACACGGCACCTTGAATCGACTGGACGTCTTCAATTCAAAGGACTCCGCCAAATTTTGAAACCCCAAACAACATACGTCAACAGAACCAGCACGAACGAGAGTGTCTACGAAGCGGCCGAAAACGCGCTCCGACAGGGAGGAGAAGAACACAAACCCATCTTCAAACGCAGCGCAGCGCACGCCAGGAACAGCCCATTACTCCACCAAAGCACCGTCCGAGCCGAACCCCCCATCCTGCGCAGGGGGTATTCATTCGACCTGGTCACAGAGACCCAGACAGCGGGCACGCAGAAGAGTAGGCCAGGCCGCCCCTCGGCGCATTGGGCGGAGCAAACAACTGGTGAACATTGGAAAGACATTCGGGGATCCTTGCCGCCAGCTCTCCGCTTCGCAGAGGTAGATACCACGAACCCCCTCCACACCCAAGCAATTCGAAATGCTCCCCAGAGACAGTTCATTACTTCATGGCCGTCGTCACCCCGATGTCTTTGGTGTTTTTTCTCCCCTGTCTCCTCCTCTCCCCCGCGTTCCCTCCCCCTCGCTCCCAAACCCGCTAGTGCTCGAAGGATGCAACGAGACAGTCAACATACACCACGCTCCGCCACGCACGTACCGTGGCACCCGCAGAATTGGGCGCGGCAGCGAGGCGCCCGCGCATCGCCCCAGCAAGAATCGATGATATCGTTTATACATATATATATAATAATAAAGAAAACATATAAAAACGGCACACCGAACTATATATATGTGTGCATGTGTGCGCGCATACATACATACATACATACATACATACACACACATACATGCATGCATGCATGCATGCATACATACATACATACATACATACATACATACATACATACGTACGTACATGCATACATACATACACACATACATACCATTATACATACATATGCACTTACACATGTTTGCATACATGTGTATATATATATATATATATATGTATATATACCACAAAAAAAAACTACACACAAACCAAAAACGGGAATCGGTGTGCAAGAAAACAGTACGCGGAGGGGGTCCCGACATCTTCCGGACGTCATCACGGGAGAGAGAAAGAGAGAGAGAGATAGAGTAGTATTCATACGGTGTATTTGTAGAGGGAGTCGAGATAGCAAGGCCGAAAACGAGTCCGCGGGCCCCGCTCGTGTCCACCTTCCCTCGCATACTTCGCACCTAAGAATACATGGTGGCGCCACGGCACATCGGGACCAGACCAGGTTTGAATCGGGCGTGTCTTTCGACAGAAGGAATAGCCAAAGATAGTCCAAACAAATAATCTGGGGTGGCTATGTTTGAACAGGTTTCGATTATTGTTTATTTTTCGTCCCAACTCCGCTTGTAGGAGGACGCGCCCGACCCAAGACCAGGTTCTGACCCAGCGAACGGGGAAACCGCTCGCGCACGGTCCCCACCCCCGCTTTCGACGTCCTGGCGACAGGCGGACCGTTCGCACGGGCGGGGGCGGAAACTGGCGCAGAAGGCCCCCCTCACGAGGCGCTGCGGCGGCGGGGGCACCATATTTTCGCATTGTCTCGGGTGGCCACATGTCGCTGAGCACGGCCAAAATCGGGCTCCCAGAAAAAGGGGGTGTACCCCAGGGGGGGATGTGAGCTCGATCGGTTTTTGCACCGTGCCGCCCAAAACAGATGCCCCCCAGCCGCCGGCAGCTCCCGATAGTTGCCGACAGGTAGGGCATGCGGAGGGCACCTGTTTTCGGCAGTTCGGTGCCCCAACGGATCGTACGCACGCCCCCCTCTCAGGGCCACCCCCCCTTTCTGGCGGATCCCGACAAGACTGGGCGGCGCGCAGAAGGCGGGTAGGGGGAGGGGGGAAAAGGGCGTCTTAGAAGCACCCCTGCTTCTTAGAAGGCGCGGGCCTTGTCTGTAGCTGTAGGGCCGGCGTCTCTTGAGAAGCGGCACGCTTCTAAGAAAAGGGTCCCCTCTCCCCCTGTGCGCGCCGCCACAAGACGGAGCACGGAAGCACGGCGCCGCGCCGACGCCAAGTCGCCACGCTCACGCCCAAAAATTGCGCGGCGGCCCTGGGCGAGGACAGCATTCTTGCCCGCGCGCGCGCGCGGCCCCGCTGCCCCGCAGCCGTTTTTTTTAGAGGTTCGGCGGGCAGGACATGTTCCGCGCCCGCGCCGGAACGCCACTTCCAGGTCAAATGCGGGGCTCGAGCGACGGGGGCCAATGCAAGCGGGAGTCAGTCCTCCTCCTCCTCCTCCTCCTCCTCCTCCTCCTGCTCCTCCTCCTCCTCCTCCTCCTCCTCCTCCTCCTCCTCCTCCTCCTCCTCCTCCTCCTCCTCCTCCTCCTCCTCCTCCTCCTCCTTGCAAGGCCCGACTGGCCCCCGTCCCGTGTGCATGATTGGCCTGGGCCACTGCTTCCCCGGTGACATTTGCACGGAGCTTGGGCGAGATCGACAAGGCACCCTGCGAGCGCCACGTTCGGGCGAAGCCTGCGCGGCGCCAGGGCGAAAGCGACATTTTCGTCCGCTCACTCGCCGACGATTTGGCGAGCGACAGAATGTGCGCCCCACCCTGGCAGGAGCCCAACTTTGGAAAAAAAAAAAAAAAAAAAAAAAAAAAACGGGGCCCGGGCGAGAGCGATATGTCGCAGTTTTGCACGGGATGCGTGCCCTGTCCCACTCTAGCTACGCGTTTGGCGGCGTCGACACCACAGCGTCCATGCTGAAAAGAAAAACGTCGATTCCGCGGTGTCCTTTCACAAGGTAGGGTGTAACCACCGGGATGCAACCCCGATCAGTCGGATATGTGGCACACTAACAAGCAATAAGGACGGAGGTTCGGAGAGGGAGGACGGAAGAGAGCATGAGGGAGGGGGAGGAGAGCAGAGAAGGGGGGGGAGGGGGAGGGGGGGGGGGGGCAGGGGGGCGCAGGCTTCGCCCGAACGTGGCGCTCGCAGGGTGTGCCTTGTCGCTCTCGCCCAAGCTCCGTGCAAATGTCACCGGGGAAGCAGTGGCCCAGGCCAATCATGCACACGGGACGGAGGCCAGTCGGGCCTTGGAGGAGGAGAGGAGGAGGGGGAGGGGAGGAGGAGGAGGATGGAGGAGGAGGAGGAGGAGGAGGAGGAGGAGGAGGGAAGCGGGAGGAGGCAGCAACGAAGAGGAGGAGACGGTGTGGAGGACGAGGGGGGGGGAAGGGATGGAGAAAAGGAGGAGGAGGCAAGGAGGAGCAGCACGGAGAGGGGAGGGAGAGAGGCAAGGAAAGGGGTAGGTGCAAGGAGGGGAGAAGGGGAGGGAACGAGGGAGGCCTTGCCCTCCTCCCCCCCATTCTCCCTTTCCCTCCTTTCTCCATCCTCCCCTCCCCTCCCTTCCCCATTCCCCTTCCCCCCACCCTCCTCCTCGCTCCCTGTTCCCTCACTCTGTTTCTCCCGCTTGGAGGACGACATGGAGGAGAATAGCAGAGGAGGAGGAGGAGGAGGAGGCAGGCAGTCAAACTTGAAGGCCCCCGACGGCCTCTGGCGACCCGCAAGAGCGGACATCTTTCTAGCTTAGACAGGTCATTCGGCGTCGTCGTGACGGGAACTTGCCGCGCAGCGGGCTGACGCGTCATCGCCTCGGCGGCGACGTTGGCATCAGCCTTCAGGGCTGAGCACCTTCTTGCGGCCCGTGCTGGTCCACGGGGCCTACAGAGAGCAGCCCACGGCGCGGACTCTACACGCACGAAACATAGCGAGTCCCAGTGTCGCCACAGTATCCAGCAGCGCTTCGACCGCCCAGTTCAAGCACCAGGATGAAGTTGCGACCTTCGTCCTCGCAGCCGTGGCCAACCGCGTCTTTGCCGCTGTGGACAAGCACGCCTTCGGTGACGCAACCAGCGGAGTGAAGTTTTTGGTCGAGTACACGTTCGGGTATTATTGGTACTACGACGGTATGGTGCACTCCTGTCTGGCGTTCCGTGTCCGTCAGGTGAGCGCTGACCAGCGACACATTTGGTCTGAGCATCTTGGTGTGAACGAATTCAGGCGCACCTGATTACCATAATCTGCCATCATCTTCGTGATCTCTTCCGGTTGTGCAGTGGTCATAGATGGACGTCAACATTTTCAGTGCGAGGTGCTTTGGCGGCCACGCGCTGTGAGCAAGAGGACATCGAGCGATTGGGATAGGAGCAAAGGCAATGGGAGGCGCAGCGCCCTCGGCAGGTACACTCCGCGCGGTGTGCCTTGGAGATGGCCATCATGCTCCTCAGTTGCCGTCGTCGCTTCGCCAGGGAGGTTCTAACGGGGGCCAGATCGCTGAGCTGAAGGATCTCAGGGGGCGTCAATCGATGACACGCACGTTGATTTCCTAGCTCTCGTTGTTGGGCACTCTGTCAGTCACGGCGAGCCCACGATTGTCGGATATCTGCTGAGCTCCAGTTGTTGAGTGAGCCTTGCGTTGCAACAAGTTGCTGCGCCTCAGGAAGGCGCTGGTTCACTGCATCTCTCGCTACGTACCTCTGATGGTCGGGAAAGACACAGACCGTCTGCACTGACCTCTGGGGGCCCTCTGCCATGGAGAAGTGCGCCTCCAGCCTGCCCCCATCAGCGTCCTCCTTATCCTTCGCGGCAAGTCTCTAGGTGGGCCTTCGGGCGGTTCTGGGGCTGCCCCGAGTTCCACCGACCGCACACTGCTGGGTAAAATTACGTTCCGTCGTGGGCCGCGCTGCCGGAGTTTCTCCTTCTACTTCGCCCGTCGGCGCCAGCGAATCTCAAAGTAATGTGCAAGTCGTTGTTTTTCGGCGTTACTGCACGGCCGCCCACACCCCAGCGGGGGGCATGGGCGCTTCGCCTGCAGTGCCAGCTCCGCAGAGGCGGGGGCGCGTGGGGGCAGGACTGGGGGGTACGCAAGGCAAACGCCTTCGTGACTCAGCCCTGCCTTTCCCATCGCGTGGCCTCCGAAGGCCACAATATTCGATATGACTAGCCATATCGCGCGCCGCATGCAAATTGATTTTTACCCCAGGCCCCTCACGAAGCGTCCGTCACAAGGTGCGCTGGTCAGCCCCCCAAGAGGTGCAAGGATGGCAAGTTTTTTGGGTTCAAGGTTTCCGGAGTCGGTCACATGGATTCGGCAATTGATCGAAGCAAGATCTGGCAGCGAAGGTCGTTCGAGATTCAACGGCTCGCGCGGTGTCCGAAGCCCAGTGCCCGCGTCGTGAGCTCGCCGCGTGGAATCCATCATTTGCCATCCATACCAAGCACCAGCCGGTTCGGCATGGACTGATAGGGGGGCCTACGAGCAGGTCCCGATTTCACCCATAATAAAGGCGGAAGGAGAGGGGAGGGCATAGGAGGAGGAGGAGGACGAGGGGAGAGGGTCGGGGATGGCAAAGCCATGCTTGCCCACGCAAACCAGTCAATCCACAAGTGCCTGCCCAGACAATGGTGGGCGCTTTAGCTGAGATCGTCTACGCACCGACGGTGTCAGACCACAAGCATCACATCCAGGAAAGAGCTCAACCAATTTTAACAGGTATCGTCGTCTCGTGGTCCACATGACGTCAGACAAATCCCAGCGGGATTGCTACCGCTTTGCGCTTGGTATCCAGAAGCCAGCTTCGAGAATTACGCGTGACAGATATCATGTTCCACTGGGTCACTCTCTTGTAATCGAGGTATTGGCAATCGAGGCGCTGCAACCTTCCGCTGGCTACACATTATGTGGCGTGCACTTCCGAGGAGCTTGCAGCCAATTCGGTTGACAGACACGCCTTGCAGCAGGCCAGCGGAGCCCGATCATCGTGGCAAAAGCATCGCCGCGAAGGTCTCGTCCAAGGGACCAGGTCCTCCCAGAGAGGCCGCAAAGGGCTGCACGGCATGAACGGCACCCCTCCATTTCGCAGGGGTGTTCCCGTGTGGCGAGGGCCTGCGTGGACAGGCCCCAGCCAGGCCCGGCAGCCATGGCACTCCGCCTGGAGCTAGCTCCCCTCCTCTCGAGCGTTTCCAGTGGGGAGGGTGAGACCAAGCACCGATTTGCGGCGGGCCAAAATCGTCACACAAAGAACTACTTCCGGAAATATGTAAAACTATTGCCGGAAATGTGTTGTTCTGTTTGTTGCGATAAATGAGAACGCTCGCTTGGTGTTTTTCATGTGCGAGTATCTGCATATGTATATGCACACATACACACTGGTAAACAAAACACACAGCAAATCACAAAGCAAACAAACACCGAAGCAACCAACAAACCACCAAACCAACCAAACAAACACACACACACACACACACACAAACACTTTGATCCGCGGGTCGAGAGCGAGCCTCTTCCGGTCGAAGCTAAGCGGGCCGCGCACAGCTTTAATTGACAGAGGGAGGAAACAGAAGGAGGGGCCTCACGTCAAGGCCAAGAGAGGGCAAAGCCCCACACGCACACACACACACACACACACACAAAAAAAAAAGTGCCGCTTGTGGAAGGATAAGTTCCCATGGTGGCCTCGAGCTGTCATTGTGCGTGGGCGGGAGGGGGAGCAGGAGGACGACCAGGACAAGGAAGAGGCCTTTCTGTGGCAGACTCCTCGTTTGTTTCCAGCTACATGTCTGGCCACGGATCGAGCCGCAGGAATCCCGACCAGGTCATCTTGCGCGGCCATTATTAGATCTCTCGTCGA